TATGATTTTTTCATAATAAACAAAGCTTTATTATTAAATTATTAAAGCAAAGCAAAACTACACCATCAAAGCTTTCCAATCATCTTCTTTTATATCTAAAAAAAAAGTCTTAAAAATTGGCGAGAAGTTATGGTGCATGCAAGAGCCTTTTTGGTAATCTAGATAAAGACCCTTCCTTTCCAAACTCGATATTAAGAAAGAAATTGAGTGTGGGCGCTTGTGTTACATAAAAAATGCGCACATTTTGTTGATAAAATAATTTGGGCATGCTTGCAACAAAACCAGACAAAATGAACATTGGTATTACCAAGAATTTCAGGTTTGTTTAACATCACAATTGTATTACAATGTAATGTGATCATGATATTTGGATCATTAATTGCTTATAGTAACAATTGGTCAACTTCAAAATACTAAAACAAAAAAAAAATTATATCATTTTAAAAAATTTAACCGATAAGTTTTGTTGTTCATGACTCAAGCCTCAAAACTTATCGGCTGGTTTTTTCTTAAACTGAAAATTGGCAGAGCCTTAGCATTTTGAAAATTCCAAATTTTGTTATACATTTAAGAAATTGAGACTAAGTAAATTTCGTGTAACAACTTTTTTTTTCATAGAATATTTTCTACAACATACGCTTGATTTATTTGATTTATTTATTTCCTTTTTTTTTATTAATAAATAAAAGTTCTTTACAACAAAAAAGTAAAAAATCTATGAAAAGAAAATTTTTTTTTTTTGGATTAATAACTACCTTTTTAAAGTTAAATTGAATGGTGGCGGGTTTTTTTAAAATCCAATGTGTGGATCACATAATATTTCAAAAATTTTAACTTTTGAGTGTACAGTAGATGATCCGCACTGTATCTATATAAAATCAAAAAAACTAAACTACTTACAATTTTTCAAATTTTCAATTTGTTCATTTGTGCATATGTAATATTTTAAGTAATAATCAATTAAAAATAAATGTATTTATTTGGTTAAATTATTTTTCATACAGGTACGGAATTTGTAACATACTGAAAAGATACGTTTTAATTCCGAATATAAGGTATGGAATAGGTACGGAATTTATAACATACTGAAAAGCCGTAATATTATTTCCCATCAATAAATATTAATCAATCAATTGTTGTACAAAGTATTTTTACTGTAGATGATTTAATTTGAATAAAAATCAAAACAAAAATATTGGAGTTGATGAATAAATATATGACAAAGATTGTACTTTTTATATTTAATTGTTTATTAAATCATTTTTTCATGATATTATTATTAATTGAATACTGATGTTGTTGTTATTATTATTCTTATGATGATTTAATTTGGTCAAAAATTGATAGCAAGATTATATTTTATTGTTTTTTTATTACATACTATCTTGTTATATTTTTAGATGATCCACTATATCCAAAATCAAGCTTCAATTATAATGTTGGCAGATAAATATGAGGTGAAGATTACAATCTTATATTTGATTATTAATCATTTTACACATCATCTATACATAAAGTTGAAATGGTCGAAATTATGCCATATCACATGAGAACCAGTGATCCAACTTTAATGAACAGGGCTTATTAGAATAGTATCATAAAGGTGATTCAAATAATGGTATTTAATATTCATAACATAATAAAAATAACTCATTAATCTATGATCTGAATTTTATGAATTAGACTAGACACCTCATCAAGAGAATTCGAATGGTAATCTGAAACAGCCAGATATTGACCAAGTTATGGTAATTTAAAGTTTTTGATTAATTTTTTGACCATTTGACTTTTAATTTGACTTTTGGCTTCTCAAGTTAAAATATTTTCAACTTTTGGGCTTTAATTTCGACTTCATGTTATAGTTCATACTTTTTTTTGTATTTTTTGTATTTTTCAAAAAAAAAAAATTTAAATAAACAAATTTTTATTTTTAAATCTATTATAATTTTCTGATTTCAGTAACTAAAACATGTTTTACCGTTAATTGAAACGCGTTTTACCATTAATTAAAATGCGTTTATTCCGTATTATTTCAGTATCTATTCAGTATTGATTCCGTATCGATTCCATGCTGGTTCCGTACTTTTGATACGGAAATTGATACGGAAATTTACATTTTCCATATTAGTCGGACAGTGACTGATTTTAATATATGATCGACATGGCACGTTTTCTGTACAACGGACTTTGGCGAATGAATTGAACGTAA